GCTGTTTTAAAAAATAAGATATAGCGGACAAAGAGCTGCTTGATGGGGAATGGAAATTACGTTTTTGCTATTGTTTGGAATTTAAAAACCAGTTGCTTCAATAAATATAGGTGTTATCTTCCTCTACCAGCAGAAACTATTTTTCAACCAAGTGTAGCGTCATCTCTAAAAGATAGAGGCTATCAGCTTTTAAAGAAGTGCCCGCAAGTCCATCAGCATTGGTCAATACGAACAATCAATATAACCATGCAAACAGACATGATTGCTCAGCTGATTGCCAGAACTGGCTGAGTGCAAAGCAGCTACTTTATTTATTTTTTTTGTCTGAGGCATTCATAACAGGCCCCTGGGCATGCATAGTGCAAATACAAGAATGGTGATGTCATTAGGAAATGAGAAAAAAAACTCAAACAACATTTAGGATGTTTTACTTTCTTGGTGACATCTATCAAAAGAGAGTTTATTTCAGTTGTTGTCAAAGTAAATTTTAAATAATTCAGAAAGCATACAACACAAAAAAAGAGAAAAATAAAAATGCAGATGCCTTTAAAATGCAACCAGAAAGCTTTATTTTATAAGCATTATGTGCCATCGGCCACAACATCAAAAATGTCTATGTTAAAATGTTAAAAGTAGCTCTAGTTCCATAGTGTTTGCTGAATCAGCGATTTAACACACAGTACAACAATTTATTAAGCAGGGCAGCTGAACTCTGTGTGTAAAAAAAAGTGTAAAAATTGTAAGCAGGCCAAGGCCAAAAACAATTTCCTGACAGGCATTTCCAACAGAAGTATTGCAATTTTGTATGTATGAATGTATGCACGTTTGTATATGTATAGGGTATATGTATGTATGTATGTATAAATTTCAGCAAAGTTATAATTATTATGATATACACATGTTATTTGCTGCTGTGTTTTTGTTTTCTTCATTTTTACATGTGTGCAGACAGATGTCAGGTGTGTTGTCTTGTGTTTTCTTGGTTTATATTTCACATATCTAATCTCTCTTTCAATCTTCTCTTTTGTTTTCTTCTCTTCTATTAAAAAACTGTCATTGATGATGAAGAAACTAAACTAACATTCAGTTCTGTTTTCTACTGAAGTGGCTTTAAAAAAAAGAAGTATTGTAATTTTGATAAGGCGGCCTCTACTCTCATTTGGCCTTTTCATTCAAATACAACTCCTCATGAACCTAAACTAGAGCTATTTTAATCAATGCCGTCCAAACTCGTCTAAACCCAAACTGCAGGACCAAATTACAGGATGATGCAGCACAAATGAATCAAGTGGTCACTTCTTCCACTTTCCACTCCTGGAAGGACATAATAAAGCACAGAGCTCCCATGCAACCCTGGCAAATACAAACACACACTTAGTAGATTTGTATTATATTGTTCCTCTTCATAGCACCTAATGTACCCACTAGATTAAACAAACTGCTATCCTCTCAACATTGCTGAAATTCATTCCTAGTGAGGGAATCCCTGGGCAGCTAAATAAGCCGATGGAGACATAAACTGCTCCGTCTGTGTCCTAACATGTTGTCCAACTACAGACAGAATAACTGTCTGGGTCTTTTAACATCTCAGCTGATGAAAAATGGTGCACTTGTAAAGAAACAAAGATTCATTAGGTAGCTGAAGAAGGAAATACTATAAACACTATTTCATAACTGTTTGCCATTGAAGGTTTTACAWTTTCTCTTTGTGCTCTTTCCAAACAGCTGTTTTAGGTATTTTTTTCCCACACGGCAATTTTTCCGCCCCAAGTTTCATTCCAAAGTTTTCATTTCTCTTTTCTCCAATCTATTTCTCTCCACAGCTGTCTCCCTGTCTTACATACCAATAAATCTATGGAGACTACTGCTGAGCTGACTTTCCATCAACTGGTATAACCTATCACCAAATGCCCCTCTTTCTACCAACAGGCAATCAATGCAAGCTCAGCATTCAGGAAAGACACGGCCAGCAAACACAGGACACAAGCCATACGGAGATAATATTCTGCATATATCGTTGAWGTTGCTCGCTGTCTTTGGTAAAATATCCCAGATGCCTAAGTTTATACACAGGGTTTCCAAAGAACAGTTCCTTCCCTTCTCTCTTCCATCATAGTCTGAACTTCTTACAACACAACTTCAGTAATCGTTGTCTCCCCAATGAATCATACTCCCACATCCTCCTCCTCCTCCTCCTCTGTACGTATTATTCTGCTCCTCGCTTGAAAAAAAAATTCCTTCAAAAACTCCCAAGTCTTTTCTCTTAAATACAGAACTGAATCACTGGTGATCAAGGAACTGAAAGAATTGTTGCCTAAAATATTAAATAAAGGGTATGTTTTGAAGAAATTGGAAAGATTTATGAACACGCATGCTGTCTGCTCATAAGTTCATATCTTTCTGAGCCCTGACACCTTAAAATCCATGGCGCCCTGAGGGAGGACTATTAGCTCTGCAGTGATTGAGCTCCCCTTTAAAGAGAACTGGGCTAAACCTGTTCATCTTTCTCAAACATATGTGAACACACACACAAACACACACACATACACAAGGCCTTGGTGATGCGATCTATAAAGCTTTGAGGGGTAGAGGTGGCAGATTCACAGCCTTAGAAGTAATGAATGTGAATCAAAGTCTACCTGGATGTGATGAACACTTGCTGCCTCACTCGTTTAGCACCCAAACTATACAAGAGTGATGGAACGTGTCTGATCTACAAGTCAAGTAACCCAAAACCATTTTTAACTCTTACACAATGAATGTGGATAAAAAAGCATTTAGGTAACAAATTAGTCTGGTTCAATAAAGGGTGTTACATATGAGAACATTGATGATGTAAAAATGACAAGTAGAGGAAGTAAAGTAACTGAACTTTGAGGTTCTACAAAGTGACATCAACTTAAATACTTGCAATCAGTTTTTGATTAATTATAAATAAATCAATGGAAAATAACACTAGAGACTAAACTAAATTAATTAGAAACATTTTCAACTGAAAAACATGTTATTTGTACAGCTTTGCACAGTTGCATTGTTGCAGAGCAATTTAATTTTTCTTTAGACTGTGTGGATTGTAGATTCATGCAAAATAATAATGAAGCCCTGCAACTCACACGAGGAAATTGAAAACTACCCAAAAAGTTTCAAAATGTTTTAAAACTCTGTGAATGTCATTCACAATTTGTCACCAGGAATCAAAAACCAGTGAGATACTGACTTAAGTGAGTTAAGTTCTTGACATTTTGTTAAGACCATTAATTTATTTATAGTAAAAAGGATTGTCTGTAAATTAATTTATTTAAATCAAATTTTCTCAGAAATTTAAGAACATTTTAAGTTTGAATGAGTCCATTGTTGTTGGTAAAAATATTACTGTTACAGTTATGACTGTTGAAACTGAGCTGAAAAGTAGCAATTTACTATATGTCTATTGTCAGCAAAAACATCTATTCTATTAGATGATAACATTTCGCATGAATTTATTCAATTCGTAAACAGATTCATTCATTTGTCCAAATAATCTCCAGGTAACTGAAATATTTTCTGCCTCCTCAACCACAACTGTTCTGTTCAAAGGGAACACAAAAAAGTACCCACACATAACCAGGACACAAACATCACAAACCCAATAAACCTTTTCAGTCTTCTTAATTTGCTACCAGCAAGGGAAAAAAAAACAAGACTAAAGAAAAGGGAATTTAGGAAGAAGTGCTTAAACTAACTAAAAGAAGCAGACTGACTGTGATGGATGTGTGGATAAAGTCTGTGTGGAATAAAGAGAGCGAACAAAAACAATGGGGGAGAAGGAATTGAGAAAAAAAGAATCAGAGTGAAAGAAACAAAGGTCAGCAGCTGACAAAACAAAGGCATTAAGTCAAAACAAAGAGCCAATATATCTTTATCCCAGGACAGACAACATAAATGAACCCTTCCAACTTAAAAAAATAGACTAAACCAAAAAAAAGGTGAGGAAAGCTGCAGACGACATGAAGAATGCAGTTTGATTGGAGGTGTCTGTAACGAACACAAAAACAGTGCGGTTAAAAATAGAAAGCAGGATCTACCCTATTATCGTATGTGAGCGGAGGAAATCCAGAGGTAGCTTATCCTACAACTCAACATGGACTGTCCCGAACAAAAGCAAGCACACACTCAAACACACCGACTGGGGCAAGTGTGTGTGTGTGTCATTGTGGGGGAGCAAGCTGGCCAGCTGAGGCTCTGAAACCATTAGGGGAATTAAAGGCAACAGAAGATGATCATGAGAGAACAGACACTGACAGGAGATGTTTGGTGGATAGTAGGATCAGCTGGAGGAGAGAACAATGACATTGTTGCAATAGAGCCAGGCTGATCATCTCTAAGGTAAACACAATGAAAAACAAATTATATTCACCACCACTTTTAACCCTCCGGCATTGTTTTTCACAGAAGAAGCTTCACAAAGAACAGCGTGCATTACAGCTAGTCTTTCACAAGTAGGTATGTGACAGTCCTCAAGAGATAGGTGAGTTGACGCTGTTTTTAGGTTCTTATGATCAAAAGTCACACCACACATGTATGGTATTCATTAAAAGGTAAAAGAAGTCTCTTGGTGGAGAGATGAAACGTTTCACTAAAGAAGAACCCATACAGAGGACCTACTAATTTTTTTCTTTTGGATATTTTAGTGTAAACTGTTTTCTGCAATCTGAGTAACTTTCATTTAAAAAATTAACTCTAAAGTGTATTTTTAAAGAAGTACAATCTGATCGGGTATTTGCCAAAATTTGCCACTTTTTATTCCAATGAAATTGCATAACTTCTTCATTTCTCAATCAATTTGAACAAAGTTCTCATTATTTGGTTATTTGATTTTAGCTGTAACCAATATAATGGGTTTTAGTACAATTTGGAAGCTTTTTTGATTTTTGTTACATACCTATCACAAGTAAGCACAGTCCCGAATCAACCATTTTTTTCAACACAAACTACAGACTGTAGACAACAAAAAAGCTTACAATGAATGTCCAGTGGCTCCTCATGTCTTGTAGCTGCTTAGTTCAAGTCCATGTTCATAACTAAGCAGCAGCCAAAACACAGCTAAACTCCTTCATCCAGTCATCCGCAGCAGGAGCCCAAAAGACACAGAAGGAGGAAGAGACCTGCAGTCTGTGAGTCTGACTGAAACAGAAAGAGACTCTACAGTCAGAGCGCTGCCCACCTCTTCTTCCTCCACCTCCTCTCTCCTTTGTAACCTCCCTCTTTTCCTCCCTGGAGCTTATCTGTTCTGAGGCTATCACTCCTTTCTCACCCCCCACCCCCCAACACACACACCCCGGGCTCACTTGCGCTAACTCCATTGAATGTTTCCAAGGTAGCCCAGTCATGACGTATACAGTGGACAATTCTGAATGCACTTTCAGCCCCACTCCAGTTTCAATTCCACTTCTGTGTTTCTGAGAAAGAGTCACTGAGCAGGGGAGAGACAGAGAGAGAGAGAGACAGAGAGAGAGACAGAGAGAGACAGAGAGAGAGAGAGAGAGAGAGAGAGAGAGAGAGAGAGAGAGAGAGAGAGAGATTGAGATCTGAAAGCCGATCCCTTCTGATCTCATCAAGCAAAGTTACCAACAGCAACCGGACCAGCCGGCAGCTGAGGCGAACTCCCGTTTCACCTTCCAACCCTGCTCCCTCCCCTCTGACTTCCCCCCATCTTACAAAGAGCTCAAACAAAGCCGACCAACTGAACCAAACCAGCCCTCCCCCGTCTACTACAGGCACACACCAACACACATATACACAAGCACGCACTCTCCAACACGTGCCACATAAAGCAGCACAAGTAGATCATGTGCACAATTTAAGCATTAAGGTGATAAAGGCCTGTCACGTTTCGGGTGTCTCACAAGTTTACACAGGTCAGGCACAAAGGTAAAACCACTTACAGGTGAGGTGAATAACAGCTCATTACGATACAGCGTCCTTACAACTCCATTAAATCCAATGACTGAGTGAGTCACTTTGTGACCTGCAGGATTCAAAAGATCTATCATCTGATATATACAAACACCAAAGAAAACTTTAAAAGTCTGGATTTCAAAGCTTTCATTGGTGAAATTAATTTAAGCAGCAAAGTACTGCACAACTTTAGGCAGTTGGTTTCCATACTGTTGCTTAGTAAACTGAATCCCATTTCCCACTCCTCTGTGCGCAGCACAAAGTCACAAGGCATATTGGTTAAAATATTCCACTGAAAAATATGTAGAAAAGTACAGAGGTATATATCAGTACCTCCACAGTGGAAAAGGTATTAATCAATAACAATATTGGTGACCCGGTACTCATAAAGGCTGATGTCAAAACAAGCCAAAGCAAGTCTGATGTTCACTCTGCATGGATCCTTTCTACATCCGTGGTCAGGGAAGGTCCTGCAGTCATGCAGTGGTGATCTTATGGAAGGTAGGCTAATAAATTGTCTGTTCACATACTAGATACTGCCTCATTGTGATTAGATTGCTGCCTATCAGGTTTATTTACTATGGACAGCAGTGCTAAATTTTGTGGATTTAACTAACCTTATGGATATCATTAACATTAAAATAAGTCTTTAAAATTTTTTTAAATATGGACAGTTTATAGTTTGTTAGCAAGCCAGTGACCTGACTGGAAGTCTCAAAAAAAAAAAAAAAACCACACCAAAATCAAATAAATCTCAGTGAAAAATAAGTTGGATATAGCAGGTCAAACATTCTCTATCGGCCTCTGTGATTTTAGATTTTCATCTGACCACCCCTTGTGTGTGGAGTTCCTCAGGGTTCAATTTTGAGTCCTCTTTGATTTTGATCTGTATTTGCTTCCCCTTGGTTCCATTTTCAGGATAAATATTCATTTAAGCTGCTATGTCAATGACAGCCAGATTGATCTGTTATGAAATTACAAGGAAGCCTTGTCTGCCAGACCCTAAAGGCTGCRTCACACTGCAAGATTTTAAAACAGTTAGCCAATTTTCAAAAGAGTGAAAGAGCCCACACGTGAGGATAAAAAATCCTGGATATACCAGGTTTGGTCCTACGGTGTGTGGTGTACAGTGACACGGCAAGAGACAACACACCACACATGGACAGATGTTTCATTCATGAACATTCGGATGTCAGATATTAAATCACGCGAGACTTCCTGAAATCTCACGAGAATTCAGATGCCCGAGGAAAATCTCACGTGACCTCCATAGAGATGTGAGTTCAGAGTAAATAAGCATTTGCGATGAAGAAGAAACAATGTTGATCGTTTGAGGACTATTTTTACCAGAGGAAAAACAATTCCATAGGACTTTTAACATCCAGCAGACTTTCTGGTGAGTCATGACGTTTTTTTGTGTTCTGTATTTTGTAATCCCCTCCGTGTTTATGTCACCTTGCTTTCTGATTGGCTACACATCTCAATCACAGGCTGARAGCTTGGGTGAATGCCACACACACTGTGATATCGGGCCAAAAAAAATCAAACATGTTGAAAATCCCCGATTTGAGGTCGGAGCGTTCTCAACGTCCTTCCGAGCTGACTRAATCACTCTTAACTCACCACCCACGGCGGGAATATTTGCTATGATTATCTTTAGAGCCATCACGATAATCTGGACTTCCTTAAGATTGTCGGAAGGGCAAAAATCGGCCTGATTATCTTTCGTGTGATGCAGGCCTTACTTGATGATAYGTGGGTTGGATGCCTCTACATTTCCTGAATTTTAACAAGAAGAAAACTGAAGTTACAGTTTTAGTTAATGCTACAGCTTTTACATCTGAATTGAATTGAATTGAACTGAACTGAATTACATTTTTAAACTGAGGTAAGTTTTACAATTGTGGGTTCCTTTTCTAGCCCAGCTCTTACCCCTGTCCTAAAGCCAGACAACTATTCCTCTTCTCCTTTCTCCTATATAGTGAAAAGAACAGCGACATATCTAAAAATATCATAGAGCTGTCGTAAAATGTCCAAAAGTCTGTGTACATGTTCCTTTTTTCAACTTTACATGTTTGCAATTAACACATGACATTGTCTTGATTTTTTTTTTTTTTTTTTTTTGCTGCATTGCTCTCAGCCCTGTTCCTTCCTGTTGTTGGGTTGTATGTATGTAAATATCAACATCAAATGTTAATCAGGTTTGCTTACAACATTGATTTCAGTGGAAAAAGCCAGAAAACCACACTTACATAGAGACAAAGAAAAATCCACAGACCCCTCACATTTAGTCTTTGCAAATTTCTGTTTGACAAGTTAAAATGTTCATGAGCAGGAGTTCGAAGACAAATGAGAGCTGCATACAGATTAACACATACAGTATGGGCATGTACAGTCAGAGCTGAGACAGACTACAGGCACGAAAATACGGGACTGAGACAGCTCACTTCCTGTCTGAACCTCCTTTTCTCAGGACTGTTGTCACCACAGGAGAACCAAGTCCGCCTCACAAAAACCTTGTCCCATTGTACAACAGTCATATTATAACATCATGTCAGCTTAGGCATTCAAATGTAACATGCAGTAAGGGAGTTGTGGAACAGTAATTCATGGTTAGTTTGTCTTCTGTTCTCACACACCTACAATTAACAGGGAGGATACTTTTAGTAGCTGGAGTAGTCAAAGGAAATACTGTTGCCTAACTACCACACTGTTGCAGGAGCAAACATCACTGAGTAAAAAAGGGTCAACATTTTGTGTAATTCAATATATAGTATTAATTCCTCTTCTGTGAAACACAAGTTAAGCATAAATATTCATTTTTAATCCTTTTTTAATATATACAGAGAGCTGACAGGTAATATTGTTGGTAACACAACTTCTTCAAAAGAACTATCAGATTTTTTTTCTTATGCAATTGCCAATGTGCAAGAAAGTACTAAAATCTTTAAACTTAAACAGAACACGTTTTATCGCTTCAGGGTTTGTATATACAGTATGCAACATTTTACCTGTTAAATTCGACGACCTGTCAGGATAGATGTATCACATTATAGAGCAAGGCTTCCAAAGTAGGCAAAACAAATAAGTTAAGAGTTTTCTGATACAAAACAGGCACAGCAATAATTTAAAGTCTTGAGAAAAACTGTTGGAGAATCAATATGTGTTTTCCAAACTCTCCTTTTTGGTCTGGGAAGGTGAACTAAAAAACATGTATGTTATAAATATTCTTAAAAAGTGTGTAAAAAGGCATTAAAAAATACTGATACCCTAACAACTGGAAAAAAAATCAGAAAACCTATCAAAATTTTATATTAACTGTATTTTTCATAATTTCTCCACAATTTTCAGTTTCCACATCACATATATCACTGCCTAAATTCTTATTCTCAGCTGCAGGATATTTCTCCTTACTGTGCAGAACCACAAAATGCTTCAGATTCACTTTTATCATCTTGAATAAAAACAAAAGACACTATTTGACATTAAAGCTTCAAACTACGGCCTGTGGTACATCCCCCATCTCTTCTGCTGGACCCTGCTGTAAAATTGCCCCATGATTTTCTGCCTGAAGGCACATCCACACTTAAAGAGACCCCATGGGGGTCTGTGGAAATGCATGTGTGTGTGCCTTTGTGTGTGATGGTTAATCTGCAGGACAATGGAGGTCCTGTCTTCACCCCACACACAGGCCATTAGGGCCAGGGGCCTCACAGCTGAGCATCTCCCTGACAATGGAAACTGGACGTGTGTGTGTGCATTTGCGTGTGTGCTCGTGTTCGTGCATATGTGTGTGCCCCTTCAACACACGTGTCAAACACAAAGCCACCCAACTGTCAACATCGCCCAAGGGAGAGGCACCAGGAGAGCAGGCAGGATCGATGGATGGCTGGAAGTGGGGAGCAGAAGGAAAGGAGAAAGGAAATGACTGAACCAGAGTAAAGGATATGGACAATCAAAAGGGAGAAGAGGGGGGATGTTGAAAAATGGTAAACATTAGAAATCCAGATGGCTGAAAGGAAAACCCGACAGGAGCAAGGCCAATTTGAACAATGTAATAAAAGTGTGATGATGAAGAACAAACCGGCTTGTTTGTGCCAAAACAATCAGATGTTTTTTTTTAGGTTTTTGTTTTTTTTAAATCATGGATCCAAATAAGGGCAATCATGAACCTCTAAAGCTTTTAACATAAAAGCCATGATGGTAATCACAGTACGTTTTTTTTTTTACTATTTTTTATTCTCAATATTAAACCAACTTCAAACACATTATTAAGTTTTAGTACATAATCA